GCAATGCCAAACATGACACCATATTTTTTATCTAAGTGGCATGCAGCATACTCCACTCAATGGACACCTAAACAGAATACAGCCCCAGAGTGCCAGCTATGTAACTACCCCTACAAAACTGTTGAACGCCATCTCTTTGTGCCCAGAACTCAGTGAGACAAGAAGAACGCTACTCCCTCCGAGACCAGACAAGTGGAACACCTTGTACGGAGGAAAAGAACAGCTTGTGAAAACATGCAAATTCCACTACATGGCATTGGGCCAAAGCTCATGCGCCGCTGGATCGATAACAACAATCTAAGTGGCATACAAAGGCAAATAAAGCATGTATGGATGATTTCAAGAGTCTGTGCAGGTGAAGTCAATCGCACAGACAGAGGTTTACATCCACTGACGTATTCTATAGCATTGTGTTATAGCTGGATCCCATAAAAGCATGAGTCCAGATATGCTCACATGCAAAAGGGCTTACTGCAGTAACAATTAATTGTTAATATACTAAATAACAATTAAGTAAGACTAGTCTGCATCTGATGAGAAGAAACAAATGGCAATAAAACATGCACTTTTTATTAAGCAGTCAATGACTAGATTATAAACAAACAATGACTGGCCACTTATTCTGCATATCCAAAGCAAAATAGCTGATAATATTCTTCATTGTAAACTCCCACTTTTATAATTTGGTCTTGTTTCTAACTTGTGTGCACATCTGTTTTACAGATTTTGTCAGTTTTTATGCAGCCAACTGGCTCTACGCTTCTCAAGCAGATGCACTCAGACTTTGAAGGAAACACCCTTATTAGTCATTTTTTACGATAGGCTCGAGATGTTTATCAGTTTGCCTGCCTGTTAATGCAGAATGATGGTTTCAATAAATAATTGAATATTTCACACAAAACTCAAGTGCAATGATCAAAACTTTAGCCTTTGCGAACCCTTGTCAGGAATGTCGACTAACGCTAGTTATTTCAAAAAATACCTTGTAGCAAAGGTGTGTCCGAGGGCGTCCTTGACGTGGACAATGTCAAAGGATCCAGGATGCCTTTCCCTGTTGATGATTGTCCCCACGCGGCCCAAGTTATGTCCACCAGTGATCATCACCAAGTTGCCTGAAGAAAAAAAAAACAGGTATGATCATGTAAACATAATAAGCAAGACACTGCATTAATTATACTCATAATTTCCTGTGCACTGTTATGAAAGGAACCTCACTGATCAGAAAATGTACGTTCTGTTACAAAAGTACCAGATAAATAAAAAAGAAAGAAAGAAACATGTCCTGCCATTTTGTATGCAGACTGATTTAAAACCAGGCCGCGACCGTCTGGTAGTTTCTATGTGGGCCTAATTATGACCACACTGTGCAATATATGCAACTGCATGGCTTCGATTTTGGCCAAAGCAACAAACCAAATAAATAAGTTAATAAAAGTGCTAAAACGCACTAATCAAATAAATAAAAGAAATATTACAGACCACAGAGAAATATTAAAAGACTAATCGCCACTTAAAGGGTGATGTGGTCAACATATTTTCTTCTTCACATTCAATGACTGTAAACTCTAGCAGAAAGTTCTGGTTGATTGTCCACCTATGGACTAGTCTTGTTCCAGAATCTCTTGAGTGTTGCATGCACACCTTTAACAGATTGTTAGTTACTTGCCTCTGAGGCAAATGCACTCCAACTTAGAAGTCCCCAATTAGTCAACTCTTACATGCTTTCTAGAAAGGCAGTGGTTTTTTTTTCCCGCCACAATAGGACCCAGAATCCATACGGGCATCAATATTTTTTTTACCTGGGTCTAGGTAAATCATAAATCTTATCTCAATGCAGATCTTTCTTTTCTTTCTGTTCACCAGCTGTGAATTACTGGTGGTTACTCTAACTTTAAAAACATATACACCTGAAGACAAGATTATCCTCGTTACCATTTCCGCAGACGATTCTCAAGCGCTCAACCTATCTGCGATCACTTTTACTTGTAGTCTCACTCTTTTTCTGATCTCATTCCATGCAGCATGGTCCTTGACATTCTGAGCTTTGAGTCTACATCAATACTACTTACACACACCCTCCAGCAGCAGTGAATAGAACTGCCTAAAAAGAAAAGACCGCAAGGAAAAAAAAAAAGTTCGTTTTTAAACTGGTTGCTTTTGGCTTTTCAAACAACAAAATTACCTGTGTCAAACTTGATGAACTCTTTCATTTTGCCAGTAGCGATGTCAACCATGATGGTGTCATTGACCTTGACCAAGGGGTCAGGGTAGCGGATGGTTCTGCCATCATGGGTGGTCAGGTAGGGCACATTCTTCTGGCCAGTGCCATTCCTGCGCACACGGCACAGTTTGTACTGTAGAACGAGATAAATCCGATACAATCAACAAAATAAAACTATATTATATTTAACAGAACCTCACTGAAAAACTGACCATTCCTCAGATATGCTCTTTGGGATATCCTCTGAGTATGTGTAATTGGACAGCCAAGAAGAGCAACCCAGATGTTTTGAAAAGGGGGATGCTCGGAGACTTATCACAAACACAAAAAGCACCCTTACGAAAAAAATTATGAAAATCAAATGTCCCACCATTATGTATGCAGGCTTACCACTGAGTAGACTGCGACCGTGTGGAGGTTTCAATGTTGGCCTTTTATTGACTGCACTGCCCTAATAAAGGTCAGTTCAGCTTCGATAAGGCCACACATAAACATTAAAAGACCCACGCCATCAGGAGTATATATACTTTATAGGATATTATATTTTAATTATATGGGACCAATAAAAATGTACCAATCTACTCAGGGGGAAAATAAATGATTTGAGCCACTGATAGAACAAAGCGACAACTACTACCAATTCAGAGACAATACTTGACAAGGTCTTCAGAAAGGGCAAGACAGCACCCAAGGAGAATATGGACTGATGATGAAAAAACTTAGAAGAGCTGCAGGAGTTTCAAGGAAAGACAGAAAACGAAATCATGAAATCTGTTGAATGCTAGGAATAAAAAGCCAGTCTTACAGGTCATCAAAGAACAACAAATGAAGTGGTTTGGACACCTAACAAGAATGCCCTGGTATTATCTGCCACAGCAAGCCACACTAAAACGTGACACCAGGTACAGAGCGGGTGAAAGACCTCGGAATGAACATCGGTCTTAGTGTCCTTGACAAGAGTTCAGCAAACATTACATCTCCCCCACTTCACTGAGGTCAAAGTGGAAGAGAAAAGATGAAAAAACATACATTTACTTTCCCTGTGTGGGTTCCAGAGCCCCATTGTTGGGAAAACAAGAAAACCACCGCCCCAACAGGAATCAACTAATTGGGGATGTACATGCAATACTTAGACCCTGGCACAAAGCCAAAGTTCATATGGACGACTAACCAGGACTTTCCGCTAGACCTTACAGCCAGTGAACAAAGAAGCAGCAGATACATATACATTTGGATGACAATGGCCAGTGCTACTATTTTTTAAACTGCTAAATATCAATTTGAAAAGATGCTTTGAAATAGACAAAATTAACATACTCAAGAATCATAAGTTTGTTAGAAATACTGTCCAAACAGAGCTAACCCAAAATATTTCTGTAAGAACCATGTGCACTAATAGGGCATGTTATCAATTATCACTCCGGTCACCTTTACTTTCCATTTAATATTCCTATCCTTAACTCAAAAATGCTGTTTTTCTGACATTTACAGACATCAAGTCCATGAGCAGTATACAGGGAAAGAAAGTAGCAGGAAGGGGGTGCAGGTCACCCAGGGTGTCATCACTGTGCATGTGGGTGGGGGCAGTTAAGGTTTAGACGACTAAGAGAGAATAGCAGCAAATGTTTTATGGTCAATGAAACAACAGTAATGTGACTGAAGAGGACAAAAAAAATATGTCCCACCATCTTGTATGCAGGCTTACTATGAAGATAATCTGCGACCGTATGGAGGTGTCACTGTTGGCCTATTATTGACTAGACTGTCCTAATATAGGACAGCATAGCTTCGATAAAGCCATTCAAAACCAATCAACAGCCTTTGGTTTACACCATCAGGTGCACATCGTACATAATTCTACCAATCAATATGCTATAATGACAATTAGACAAACATCCTCTCTGCCTCTCTTACCCACCAATTCCTTTCTCATCTCAACAATTGTCCACTAATTTTAGACTGCAATGTGGAGGCAGGGGTGGACAACAAAATAAAATATAATTCAGTAGCTAGCACCCTCTTTGTCTCATACCCCAGCAAATTTAACCTTTAAAAAAATTGCAGGCATGTGGTAAAAAATTTATCAGCTCTGTGGCAGATAACTGGTTTTCTCATGTCACTCTTTTTGACAACCTTAATTCTAAATACAATGTTGAATGATTCCGTTGTGAAAAACTAATCTGCAAAGCAGTTTTAAACTATCACAAGAACTATGACTTTCTCAGAAAAGAGAGATATATATAAATATATGTGTGTGTGATGTGTGTGTGTGAAGTAACAGTAGATTCAAACAGTAAATATTGAAATTTTTCACACACAGGTAACCACATGTAAAGAGTGCTGGAGATTAACTCATGGCATCTAGTTGATTAAACCCGTGTGTAGACCCACAAAAGAAACTTAACAAATGTCCCGCCATTTTGTATGCAGGCTAACCAGAGAGATAAAATAGACTGCGACCGTATGGAGGTGTCGCTGTTGGCCTATTATTGACTACACTGTCCCAATATGGGACAGTAAAGCTTCGATAAGGCCACGTCAAATAGGGCACTGTTTCATGCCAGAGGTATATTGGATGCAGGATGCTACTTATTATTTCTGCTACATTGTAATGACAAAACAAAATAAACCAAACAAATGTCCCACCATCTTGTATGCAGACTGACCATGGAGACAGTCTACGACCGTCTGGAGGTGTCACTGTTGGCCTATTATTGACTAGACTTCCCTAAAACAGGACAGCTTAGTTTCGATAAAGCCATGCATACATAAATAAGAGAGAACTCATTTCACACAAGATGAAGTAGGTCTATGCTATAAATCATTTACAGATAAATCTGTCATGTCACAAAGTCTATTTGTCCAACATCCTCTCTAGAAAAAATAAGGGTAATGACAAAGAATTCTGCAGAAAGCCCCTTTTATTTCTCACTGCACATTTCTGTGCATTTTTAGTCTGAAAAGTCACCTTTCAAAATGTAGCGACAAGAAATCACAAGATAAATGTCACACTTATGATATGGATTTGTTATAACTTTTATTTAAATTAAATGTTGAAATATCATAATGGAATACGTATCTGCAGTTTATAAAAAAAACGTGGCATTATGAAAAGACAGACAAAAGCAAAGTAACAAACTAAGTAACTATCAACAACATCATTCACACATAACAACCCGATGCAGTCGAGAGATAAACTGTCAGAGACCAAATCTTTATTGTAAAGAGGGTACCTGATGAGTGAACCAGCATAAAGAATTAAAAAAAAACGAAAAAAAATGTTCCACCATCTTGTATGCAGGCTAATCGTGGTGATAATATAGACTGCGACCGTCTGGTGATGTCAATGTTGGCCTATTATTGACTATACTGCCCCAGTTCTGAGCAGCATAGCTTCGATAAGGCCGTGCCTACATAAACGAAAACCCATCTATTTCATAATGGAGAAAATCTTAGAGCTTTAGATAAACTTCAACAATTGTTCTGTTCAAGGACGAATCTAAGCATTCCAGACAACCATTGTCATTCAAGGCTTTTTCAAGTTTCAAGGATCACTACGAACTATGATATACAGACTGCTTTACCATTCCGGAAATTTACTGCTGTTAATTTTGAACTGCACTTATTTTTGAGTCTGAAACCTAATATGGGTAGCAGGTAATGTCATGGGAAGTAAAGGCAGCCAACATGATGAAGTCTTCCTTTTTCACCAATTGCTTTGAGTCTAGCATCGCGTGTCTGATGCACCAATGAGACTGCCGTGCGATGGTTTTCAAGTGGTATCAACAGCTGCCTTGTCATGACCTGTAAAAAACATGCACCTAGCTTTTTTCTTCTTTACTGAAGTCTGAGGGTTAATAATCTCTTAGAAGGATCCAAGCACATGCCCATCAGGTAGGTGTGTTAACTGCTGTTCCATTACATTTCCCAGTGCTAAACTGCTACTACAGGTCACATCAAAAGGTCAGATTATAAACAAAATTTGTTACTCATATATACTACTCTCGCTAAGAAAAGAAAAAAACAATTTAGATAAACCACACAAACAAAAACTGTTTACAAATATCAGTGACAAACCTTAGCTTCCTCGGGCTTGATTCTGTGAACAACAAATCTGCCTTTCACATCGTACAAAATACGGAAGTTCTCATTGGTCCTGTCAATGGTCACCACATCTGTTTGATAAGACATTTACTTGTATGAGTTGTAATTGACATATTCATTAGGTCCCATGGCTTATCTGCTCTTTCATTGCAAGATGCAAGTTCATTTGGCAATGCAAGAAATAAGCAGAAATGCCAAAGGAAAAGTCAAGTCTTAAGCGAGGTAATTACATTTGGCTGAAAGTGGTCGCCAGACAAATTCAACTGATTTATAATGACTACATATGACAATGCGGAGAACGGGCTAAAATGCCAAAAGAAAATCCTCCAAGTCTTGTGCCAGTTAATAATTACATTTGGCTGATGAGTGGCCAGCAGATTGAAATTCAACTTATGATTCATGATTCCATTTAGCTGCAAGTGGACAGCACTGATTGGGTGGTGTGATTATCTGTACACGACCTAAATATCCACAACCGAAGTAGGCTTTACATTTAGTCTCACAAAGGACAAAAATGCATAAGAAAAAAATCTGCAGTAAACTAATTAGCCGCATAAAAGCAACCCACAACCCATTTTTTAAAGCAATACTTCGTGTTCACAGGCTGCAAACTTTAGGTTGCTTTGTCTACTTTAAGACTTCATTTTGTTGGAGAATTAAAGAAGAAAATTAGTAGCTTTTCCGCTTAACTCCACCAGTGGGTTGCTACCCCCAGGTTGAAGAACACTGACAAAAAGACGAAACGTTAACCTAGAAACATGTTCAGATAAACCCCTCACCCATGAATCCAGTAGGATAAGTGTGATCAGTTCGAATCTTGCCATCAACCTTGATTAACCTCTGCTTGACAATCTTCTTGACCTCTTGGTAGGAAAGAGCATACTTGAGGCGATTACGCAGGAACAGAGTCAAGGGGAAACTCTCGCGGGACTTGTGGGGACCTGGGGAGCATTTTGGTGCCTGAAAAACAAGACATCAGCAACATCATTACCCTCAAGCCATAATGTCTTAATTTCTACAAATTTTATTCCGTTTTTTTTTTAAATAATGAATTTAGTATATCTATATACCTCACAACCTTCAGCTTTATCTGATGCGTTACCCCGTTTAAGAGGGCAGCATTTAGGTAGGTTTTCCCTTAAGCCAAACAGCTTTTTACAGCCAAATCGGACTTAAATTTTCAGCTATCTGAAAGGATGAGGTATCCTTAGGTCCAGAGGAATGTACTCTATTGCTTTAACATGTCCATGTTTAATGATTACTCCCCATATATCTTTATATATTTCACCCACATAAATTTATCAGTGACCTGGGCAAATATCTGGGATTTCAACAGGGAGACCGCCCAATTTTTTTTAGGGTTCCCGGGGTGAGAGGGGTTACCCAAACATTTCTTGCTCTGAATCAAATTTCTCATGCTATGAATCTTTAGCCATCTACAGAAAACCTCACAAGCAGCAACCTGTCCTGCAAACTAAGCTTTTCTCTCTCTCTTTTTTTTTGGCACCTTCTACCTCATGATGACCCAGTGAAAACGTCGGCGAAAGGTCATTTCTTGAAAAAGAGGCAAAGCTCCATGATAAAAGACTTTTAGGTGTTCTGTAAAGGACTTGCTGGCTAATGATGATCAGTAAACCAAATAGTAAGATTTCATATCAGTAAACTAAAAGGTAACATTTCATATTTTTGCATAATAAAGTATACTATTAGCAAACCCCAAGTGTTCATATCATGTGAGGAAAAAAAAACTTACAAAAACACCCCCTGTCTTGTCCAGCATCCATGATTTAGGTGCTGTCACACGCTTGAGACTCTTTCTGCGTCCACGGTAACCCTGAAATAAAGACAAAGTACGTATATTTAACATGCAATTTGTCGAGTTTATCACAAGAACTTTTCTGCACGTGAAAATCAGAAAGCAACACAAGAAAAGCATATATTTCAAATATTTCCTGTTGTGGCTTATGCGTGTGTAAAACAATATTAGCCCCTGAGGTTCACTGCTGCAAATGTCACCCATCTCTATTCACCTGTGACAGGCCTTCACTTTCCAGATGGTGACTCAAGTGTTTGCAGCTTTTTGGTCTATATCTCTTCCAGGTATGTATTTTGTGTCTTCTTATCTAACATTCTATTTATATATCACAATTACTGTAGTAGGACATTATGCAGTAATCAGTGTAATTAAAATAACTTGTTGCTCCTCACTCTTCCTCCTCCGCCGTTTCCATCTCTAATCTGGCCCCAAAAAATCTGAAATGCTGCTGCTTAATTTTTTTTTTTTTTTTATTTGTAATACAGGTACAATTCTAACATATTGAAATACAACAGAGTGCAAGGAAAATGGCTTGACCACTACGCCACAGATATCCCTCAAGATTTAGTCTATATTTATATTTTCTTAGCGGCAGAATAAAATATACTGGTCCTTCTGCATCTGCTGGTTTTCATGTCCCTTTAATATTTTGGCTATCCTCGGAATAGCGGGTCTAAATTATCAAGGCGGAAAATATACCTTATCCGTCACGTGTTAACTGCGCACTTCCCGTAATTAAAACTCCACCGCCGAGAGTATTCCCCACGCGCGTGAGCGGCGTGGATTAGGGCTAAACTAGATGGCTAGGACTCACAAGCAAATAAAATGGAGGAAGCTGCAAGAGATGTGGTAGCTGCTGCTCGTGAGTCCCAGCCATCTAGTTTAGCCTCAATCTATGCCGAGTGAGCCAGAAGTGCGCATTTTACATGTGACTGAGACCCTGTTATGGTATATTTTCCGCCTCGATAATTTAAGACCGTTATTTGGAGGATAGCCAATATTTGTTTCCAATAAGGAATGTGAGATAACACTGACTTCTTTAACCACACTATGCAGACTTTTCTTTCATTCCTCTTCCTTATATCCACATTTAGGAATATTATTTGAAATGATACATGAAAACTTAGCTTGCATTTAACTTTACCAATTCTATAATTTGTTCAAAGTAAAAAAAAAAAACTAATAAATCTGCCGCTTCCATGCGTGATTTAAGTACCATAAAATTAGAAAACTGTCATCATTAAAACACTGTCATCATCATTAATTCTCTTTATGCCTAGTGGCACATGAGGCTTCAGAGGCCTTTCCATGCTTTACTGGGCTTCAGAGGTCTTTCATGCTTTCCTGTCTAATATCTAGTGTAGTTTTTCCATGTCAGAAATGCCACACTCAGATCACTTTCCTTCCCTGACTCCTGTTGTTTTTGGGCGCCCCTTTTGTTTCTCTTTTCCTCTGGTATCTATGTGTAGCATTGTGAGCTTCACTATTTTGCTATAGTGAAGACGATCGTTGTCACTCATAATTTGCTTTACCGGAGAAAGAAGATACTAGTTCTAGAGAAACTGTTAAGATAAAATACAGTAAAAAAAATACACACAATCTAGACATTGCTATATCAAGATGTAAAAACTCGTAATGCGAATAAAAAGCTTTTGAATTTGAAAACTTTAAAATAATGTTCTGAACATCCACATAAATTTCGATCTTAGGGCGGTACATCACATCAACACATGGTGAACAAATTATCGGAAATAGTTTGAAAATTACTTCGTATTTGTGTTCTCGTTTAGCAACAGTATATTATAAAACAAAAAAAAATGCATTCTCGAGAAAGAAATACACACTTTGAAATGCAGACAAATGTAAAAATATTCAAGTTCTGAGACGTTGACATACAAATTGTATGTCAAAAAATATATTAAAGATGCTTAGAAACTGTAGCAATAAATACAAAACAAAATTATGATTTGTCAACAATTAATATTTATAATACTACTTTAATATGTCAGCTAATACACAACAATACCATATTTCTAAGGTAGCTGGTTCAAACGCTTAGTAATGCCAGCAGATTGGTAAGATTGAATTAGAACTGTTAGACCTCTACTCTAGCGTCGTACCCACCATGTTTACGTTCAACCGGAAAAAGAAAGGAGGAAATCTGGCCCTGGCGATTGTCGTAAAATGCTGAAACGCTTTTCATCATCATCATCTAGTGCCGTTTTTCCCCCAAACCGTATCGTACTGGGCAGAACCCTGGGAGCCAAGTGTAACATGCATTTAGAACAGGACTTTGCACTATCGGCACGCGGACCATTGCAAGTTTGATTGTAATAGTGATCTTTATATGATGGGATTCGGTCCTCTGTTCCGTGAAGATCTCCATTAATTTAGAAAATCGCACTGAATCACTACAGATGTGGATGCACAGTTGAATATGTATTTCATAGAAATAAAAACAGTCAGTTCCTGAGGCTGGGGAGAAAATGAACAGGAAAAGAGTTACTGTGAAGAGTGAGGGGGTAAAACGGTCACATTTAAAAAGACATAGCACGTTTTTTTTTTTTTTTTTAAACAGACTGAGAGAAAACTTGAATGACGATCATAACTCGTACCGATTAGGAAAAGTCTGAATGTCCGTATCCACTGGTCCAACTCGCCCGAGTGTTGGGACCAAACAGGTGAAGCCACGCCTGACGCATTTTGCTTCCCCATTCTGTCGTGCTAAGGGCACAGCTGAAACAACGTTAAAGGTGTCTAACGTAAGATGAAAAAGAATGTACCTATTTGTGTGGCCACAAACGTCCTAGACCTGCGGGCTGCTCCCCGCTGATCTCCGGAGAGCGCAGCCTTGTAGCGCGGGAAGCTCAATACACGGTTGTGAGGTTAAGCAGTCATGGGCAGGACGTGACGATTCCTTGGGTGAGCCCAGACCCAGAGCATCATGTGTCGGCTCTGCATTTATGGAAGCCTCCTTGGATGGCGGGGAATGCCCATGATCTGCCCCTGCCTTCCCTGGAGGGCTGAAAACTCTACATAGAGCTGCCTTAAGGACGACATGCCGGGGGCCACACTTGCGTCAAAAGTCAAAGAGGACACCACACAAATAAGGCAACATCTCGACCCACACAAAACAATGGCCACAGTCAACCTAGAAATAGGCTTGACGTCTTCCTCCGAAGTCGGAGTACATCTGCCTGAGAGGCGGGGAACGAGTACTGCAAACAAATAAGCCAGTAAAACGGTTGTACACGCAAAACTCAGGTCAAGGTAAAAGCCAAAAGTCCATTTTGGACGAACAACCGCGACTTACCGCCGGAATTCACAGCCGGTGAACAAGAAGAAGAAAAAACTTGAATGAAAGTTAGAGACAAAAGGCACTGCCTCCTCAACAAGCATGTCGTAAGAGTCGACTGATTGAGGGGCTTTCTCTTAAATCGATGTGCATCTGCCTAAGAGACAAGGAACTAACAATCTGCATACAAATAAGTCAGATCTGTTTTACAGATGTACACGCAAAAGCTTGAGTTCTGGAACAAGACTGAGGTCAAGAGGTGGACCGGAACTTTAAGCCAGAGTTTATAGCTACTGAACGCGAGGAAGAAGAAGTAGAAGTAATCATCAATAGACCCTGATTGCGCCAATATTTACTTTAGAGACTATTTTAGGTTGCTTGATTGATTGTGCCATTTATAAGTCGTATCTGGCTGTCATTCGAGTTTCTCCTTTTTCTTCTATCCTGTGCGGACTTTTCGAAGATGGTTGTCTTACAGTTACAGTTTCCTCGTGTGGGTTCTGCGGTCCTATTGTATTAGAAGGAAAGAACAAATTCTTACTTACTTAGTCATTCCTCTTCTACCTTAGAGTGTAGAGGTTTGCCGAAGAGATCGTCAGACTTCTCTACCAGCAGTTTTATTTCTGGCTTTGTTCCATTCCAGTCCCCTGTCAGTTAGGGACTGTCAACGAACCTTGCGTCTTCATGGAGGTCTGTTTTTTAGGCTCCCACGCCTGCCGTGGTGGCCGATTCTCTCCCATTCTGCGTACATGTCCTACAATCGTAAGCGTGACTGATCCACTCGAGTTTGTAAGGCCTGGGTTTCATGGTCATGACCTATTGTCTGACTGCGAACTGTCTCCCTTCTGGTCACTTGGACCACCTTTCTCAGATACCTCTTTTCTGAGGTCTGAAGCTGGCTTCTGCAAGCTGTTGTCATTGACCACGACTCACACCCATATGTAGGGACTGGCACATAGGCAAAGCGGTAGATAACCTTTTTTGTCCCTTTGCTCATTTCACTTTTGCTGAGAAATCCCCCCCCCCCCCCCCCCCCGTTGTCATTGACCACGACTCACACCCATATGTAGGGACTGGCACATAGGCAAAGCGGTAGATAACCTTTTTTGTCCCTTTGCTTATTTCACTTTTGCTGAGAAATCCCCCCCCCCCCCCCCCCCCCCCGCCCCGCAGGATCATGGAATGGAAAAGCCTCCCAGCTGTTGCTAAGAATAGGCTCACTACCCTTAATAGTATGTCGTAAAATGCGCTATGCTGTAACAGAGCAGAGACGAACACCATAGGAAGAATATCTTGGGCCACATACATTCACCAGCAAAGACTGCAACTTCAATGAGCAGAGTATCTTGGAACTGTGTGCAGGGCATGGGCTTTATATTACCAACAGCTTCTATAAGCATCACGAGAGCCAAATAAACACCTGGTATAAGTAGGTAGATTTTACCCCACTAGGACATCACACAAGCGATAAACACCGGATGACACAAAGTGTCACCATGTAGATGAGGATCACCCGTAGAGAGGTCCCGGAAACCACGTTCAGCTATTAGACCATATTTTTGGTCGGGCAAATTTGCGGCCGATGGCAAGAGCCAGAGTGGGGCTTCAAAATAACGAAAAATGTCACCCCACGAGGGGATGAATAAGTACAACACCTTGTATAAATGGAACAACCCAGTCCAGGCCACACAGTTAAACTTCGTATTGAGTAAACCAAATACGCAAGAGTAATTCTAAACATGACACTAAATACTGACCATCGACCCTGGTTGTATATCTAAACGAAGCTACAATCAGCAAAAAACCAAAGTAGCAATACGTACCACAATGATTGACATAAGAAAACAAAGCGACCTAGACAACCAAGCAAAGGTTAGGGCAGAAATGCCGGTAAAGAAGGGTGAGCTAACAGCAACAAATGACAGTATAGAAGCTGCAAGGTTAACATTTAAAAACACGCTCCTAAACTGCTTAACAACACACTGTGGTTTCAGACAGACAGGAGGAACACCGAGGAAAATAAAAGCATCGTGGAATGATAACGTAAAACACGGAGTGAAAATTAAAACCGAGAAATACGAGAAATGACTAAGATCCCGCTCAGATGACGACAATATAGAGTAGCGAGGCGACAATCTGTAAGATTTGATTTAATTTGATTTAATTCAAGAACCGACCACAGTACTCGGGGCATTCCCATAAGCGCTCCGTTCCCATCTTCAGCAGCCAGCGAAGAGTTCCAATACTAAAGGTGCCAGTAGCTTTCTGAATAAACGTCCGTCTTGCCTTTCCTCTGAGCCTTGAGCTTCTGCCAGAACCTCTCGTCACCCCTAACTGCATCAATCTCACCAAACTGTGGTGATCCATCTGCTCCTCCACATTGTACACTCACCCACAAGGCGCTAACCACGTCTGCCCTATCATGTAGCAGTATTCCACCCAGCTGTGCAGAGCCAGACAGTCTGTTCATTTCCCAACACTCCGGCGTGACCCGGTGAAAAAATCCAGACAATACTCCACACTCGTGTCCTCCGCAGCGAAGCATGCCACTCTGCACGAAGCATACCTGTTCTAATCTTCCTCAGCATGCTTTCTGAATCAGTTACAATTACAATGTGTGTGTGTGTGTCGTGTTCTCTAGCCAGCGGAAAGCTGCAGTGACCGTCTCTACCTCCATTCTTAAGCTGGATGTTGTGGTATCACATGCTAGTCTCTCCTGCACCAAACGTCGACCATTAACTTTTGCTAAAAAGCCCCAAGCACTTCTTTTGCCTCTTGACACTGAACCGTCTGTGTAAATGATCAAATCCTCTGAGCGAGCATTATCTTGAATTAATTGCTGAATTTCCACCTCTGTGGCACCTGCTGGCCAGTCTCTGCATTCCCGGCGCAGCGTGATTATGACTCTACACAAGTCTGACTGCTCAGGTGGCACTTTGACCCACTCCTCTCCTCGCCTAATGTTCTCAAGGATGCAAACCTGTCTGATTGTGTCTTCTGCCTGAGCCATCCATAACCTCCCTCTTATCATTCGCTGACCTTTAACTGCACCTAGAGCTTCATGCAGACGGTGGTCTTGTCTGCAGCACTGCCTTCTCTAATAATGCCTAACAGGTCAACGGGTATTCCCGTTCTTGTGCAAGAATTGAGTCCCTCTGCGTCCACAGTTTTTATCGAGGAGATGTATACACAAATTAAACTACAGTTTCATTATTTTCGACATATTTTTTAGAACTATGCGTCATTTTTAAGGTAAAAAAGTGTGCCAATTAAATATAACAATAAAGGCTCTTACAGACAAACAAAAATGCTTTTGCTACAGTCAACATCAATAACGTTTAGATGTAAACTCAAAGTTGTTCCAGCAAAAGTAAAGAAATATCAGTGCTAACTCTTTGATTCTGAGAAGGTATTGCTGCATCAGAGGAGCGGAGGGGGGAAGGGGGGGGGGTGACATTTGTACTTTATCAAATTTAGCGCATACAAATACTGTTATGAAACATACACATGCCATACATAACATAAATATAAATGGTTGATGGTGATTATTATTATTAGTAGACTTCTACAACATACAATTATACTGTTATTTAATAATTAGTAAACAAGCACAATCAGTATGAAATTGATATGTGCAATACTTTTTTTCACCCAGAATAGTTTTCTTAACAGTACTTATAGCACTACTAAATATGTATCCTCAAGGTACAAACAGCACAAACAAATTTGTCCAG